TTTGCCCTGCAAGCAGGTGGCACTCAGCAGATGGAGTGCACTGATCCCAGCTCCCTGGAATTCCTCCCCCTGGGGTAGAGCAGCCCCTGCACGCCTAAACTTGCCCCCAGATTTAAGCAGCTTTCCTTGGTCACGTAATCAGGAGGATGGGATTTGACATTACGTGCCAGGGTTTCCATGAGATCAGGCAAAGCCACGGGGTAACGGTGAGGATGGGTCCCTTCTACCCTCTGCGTGGGGACAGGGGGACGGAACAGGAGACTTCCACCCCACCCCACCCCTGCTGAGTCCGGGATTCTCAGAAGGCACCTGCCAGTCACGTAGTCTTGCGGTTTGCTGTTTACTGAGGGCTTACTCTGTGCCAGGTGCTTGACTCAATTCATATAATCCTCACGATGACCCAGTTAAGTTCCTCAAGGAAAGGTGAGGCAAGCGAGCCTCGCAGAGGCTAAGTAACTCTCTCAAGCTCATCCAGCTGATGAGCGGTGAGTCTGGGAGCCAACCCCCTGATCTGTCTGACATCAAAATGCAAGTTCTTTCCATGCCCCCTTAGCTCCTACCAGGTGCCCCCTCCTTAGTGGGGAGGGGTTGTGGGTTTGGCTGCTCTGACTGAGTCCGCAGGGCCATCAGAGCAGAATGCATGACCTTCAGCCATGTTTCTGGAGAGCCTGGAGTCTGACCCAGGCAGAGAGGAAGGCTTGGGGACCCTGGCTCAGCACTGTATCTCCTCACCCTGCCCGGGACCCCTGCACCCCTGACCTCGGCCACTCCCGAGCCCTCCTGGTCTAACCAGCTCTTGCCACCAGACATGCCTCAGCTTCTTGCTTTGTCTAGCGGTTTCTTCTGTTTTCCCACCAGGTCAGCCCAGCAGGGCAGGAGTTCTTTGTCTTGCTCGCGTCTGTGTCCCCAAGACCTGGCACATAATAGGTGCTCAATAAACATTTGTTGAGTAAATACATAGGTGAATGGTTTCCAGTCCTGCTGTTTGATGCTTAAAACAAAAACATTTGAAATCTGCTGCGTTAAATGAACACAGCGGTCACACAGTGTGTGGAGATGTCCACGCTCTGCATAAATGTCCTTCGCTGAGCCCCAGACACGCTCCTGGTGCCATCTGGGTGCCACCTGCTGCAAAGGCATTCCCCAGGGCTCACAGCAGGCAAGCCGGCATGTGCTGGATCACATGGGGAGAGACAGGAAGAAACATACACGATATTTACACACAGGTGATGAAGGAGGACTCTCAGCCTCTCTCCTGCCCTGTACCCCTCCTTCCCTCTAAATCTGGCATGGGTTTGGAATGTGTAATAACAGCCTACAGGGCAAATTAGAACAGGGAGTGAACTCTATCCCCAACCACAGAGAACAGGGCAGTGTTTGGGGAGGGGATGGCCACAGAGCAGGCTGTGTGTGTATGTGTGTGTGTGTGCACGCACGCACATGTGTGTACACGTGTATATGTGTGTGGATGTGCATAGTGGTGTCTGTACACACTTGGGTTATGTGGTGTGGGAGGAGTCCAAGGTTCGGAGTCCAGAGGCCTTCGTCAAGGCCATTCACTCTCTGTGTGGCATCTGAGAGTCAGTTTCCTCAGCTGTAAAATGGGAGCAGTAGCCCAGCTTTGCTCACCAGGCTCTGGCCGGTTAACCAAGGGAGAGGCTGGGAGGGCTTGGTGAATGTTGACCTGGGCCGTGAATGCCAGGCTGTAGTACCACCACATGTGTGTGCCCGGCAGGTGGGGTGGTGAGGAGGACAGGTAAACTGGGACCATATCACAATGGCAATGAGGATTAAAGTATTTGTCAAGTGCTTATTAGGTGCCCAAGAGACACCTGACTTGCCCATTACAGCAGCCCTATGGGATAGAAGCTGTTTTGCAACCCTCATTTTATTGTAGGGAA